ACACACACACACACACACACACACACACACATACACACACACACACACACACAAACAGAAACATGAATACTAATGAGTGTTTTTATTCTTCTTCAGATAAGATCTCATAAATAAAATGAGTGTTTTTATATCAAGCAGGTCTTCAGTGTCTCACCGTTTTCTCGCCCATCCATGGTCCAGAAAGCCAGCAGCCCATCGCCACGGCAACAGAAGACAGCTGCCTACAAGGTCTGGTAAAAATCGACGATGCTGCTGCTCTCCCTCAGCAGATCGTCTCTTCCTTCTCTTCCTCTTCCTCCTCTCTCACTCTCTCTCTCTTTTTTTCTTCTTTGTGTCTTTTCGCTACCCCTCTCTCCTCAGCATCCCTTCTCTCAGTGCTCTCATCCAAGCGGAATCGCTTCTTTTTATCCCTTTTTCATCTATTCCTCCAGCAAGCCTGTCATTGCCTCTCCCCTTCAGTGACTGCTCCAGATCTCAGCATCCTGCACACACACGCACACACACGCACGCACGCACACACACACATAGGCGCATGACATGCCTGCGTGCAGCGCTGCAATCATAAAAAATATGCGCAGRCTGACATGGTGCATTCGGAGATGGAGAGGGGAAACACGCAGTCACACAGCAAGGATGCTGTCTGATTGGTGTCCTTTAAAGACCCGTCAGCCAATCAGGTGCTCCCGTCTCCCCGTGGAGGTTTTCCTCTGTGTCTGAAAGTCCTCGTGCAGGAGGTTGCCGTTACTGCAGAGATACAGAGGAAACACACCATCAAACCATCCATCTTCTAGCTGCTCGTCTAGGATTCCCCCCCAGCAGATGCATGCTGGGAAATGTAGTCAGTCYAGGACACGTACAAGAGATTTTACGTGGCAGTTTTGGATTAAAATTTGAAAAATTGTAACTTAGTCACTTTATTTATTCACTTAATATGTATCAACTGACTGTAATTTACTGTAGTATAATTATAAATAACCTTTTCATATTTATATTTTTAGTTTATGCTATTGCTTTTTTTAGATGTGCTTTCAGTCCAACTCTACAGAAAACTGCATTTTTAAAGTAAAATTACTGACACATTTTCTGATATGTTCCTCTGGAACACTATTTCATAAATTTCATAAATGCATATTTGATAAACAAAACAAATAATCACAAATAATAAAAAAGAAGGTAWTCTATTTTACATTAAAAGTAATTATTTAACAAATGACTGCTTTCATTACCTGTGTATCACCTTTGCTGACACTGAAAACAGTTTGTTAAATTGTTTCTTATTGATTGTWAAACCTAAAACACTATTATTATACAGACATAAATTAGGTTTTATTTGACATTTAGCCAGAGCCGGCTCTTGGCATAGGCGAACTCGGCGGTCGCCTAGACCACCATCTGCTGGAGGGGGCGCCAAACTGCAGAAGAAAAAAATAATTATTTGTAATCCCTTTCAATTACCTTTGTCTTAAAAAACTTAAATGAAGTATTACAGGAAAAATAAACTACTCCATCCATAAAACACCCTCCCCCAATGCAGTAATCCCCCCCACCCTCTCTCTCATTTGATTGACGTTGCACTGACTCGTCCTGCTCCGACACTCTGATGGGGGAGGGGCTAGTAGTGCCT